GAACTGTATCATTTTCAACAAGAACTTGGTAGCAGTCGAATTAGGAAAATTGGAAATCTGGTTGAATAAGCCCATATACGTCGGTCAAGCCATTCTCGATCTCGCCAAGACTACCCTATATGACTTTCACTACGACTATATGGTTCACACATTCCATGATTGCTCCGTTCTGTACACTGATACTGACTCGCTCATCTATGAGATTACCAATCGAGATCCATATGAAGTCATGAAGCGAGATTGCCATCAACGATTCGATACCTCTGACTATCCTATGAATAACCAATTCGGAATACCACAGGTCAATAAAAAAGTGCTCGGAATGATGTCAGATAAAAACAAGAGTCGAATAATGACGGACTATGTGGGCTTGAGATCTAAACTATATGCCACCAAAGTGTTGACAACTGAAAATGAAATTGAAAAGGAAAGATCAGAATTGCATGCAGAAAACTATGATCAGGAGGAAATCGATGATATAATCATGAATATGGGTGTAATGAAGAAGGCGAAAGGTGTAAAGAAGTCTGTTGTTAAAACAACTATAACTTTCGATGACTATGTTGAATGTCTGGAAACAGCCAAACAGAAAACAGTATCACAAAACTTGATTAGAGCCAAACAGTACCAGGTCCATTCAATCACGCAGAACAAGATAGCTCTCAGTCCAAATGATGATAAGAGATACATTATACCAGGAATCGATGAAGCGTTACCATGGGGCCATTATTCCATCAATGGTGAAGCAATGGAAATTGATAATTAATTAATTAATTTTATGTAAAATGTGTGATGAATGATTAGGTTAGCAATCGAACAAAAAATAACCATCAGACGAATTAATGAAGTGTTTCTATTAATTTAGGAATTAATCTTCGTGCTGTCTGCGAAAACATACATCAGACGAATCAATGAAGTGTTTCTATTAATTTAGGAATAAATCTTCGTGCTGTCTGCGAAAACATACATCAGACGAATTAATGAAGTGTTTCTATTAATTTAGGAATAAATCTTCGTGCTGTCTGAGAAAAATTGTTAACCTAATTATTTATCGCCGCAAGTGGTCAAAGTAGGTCTACCGGAGAGCTTCCCACTATAAAAAGAAGCAACGCGCCACAAGGCACTACCTCGAGGGTGGTGGGGAAATGTGCTGCTATTTGTATAGATTATTGAATATATTATATAATTTTCTACATTGTGTTTGATTTCATACCTTTAGCGAAAGCCAGAACTGTTTTATGAGTTTTGGTAGAGAGTTGTTTGATATATTTCACGGGCTAACCGGAATAACTTCCCTTTGGTGAAGCACAGAGCAGTTCAATAAGTTTTAGTTAAGAGTTGTTCGACATATTCGTCTAATATGTTTACAAGGCCCGCCAAAAGTGGGATGGCCTACCCATGAGTCGCCATATATGTATACACCCTGTATATTGAACGGAATCATCGGCTAGCGAGCAGCCTGCTTGCAGATTGCCTGGTCACATGTCATCGATCTTTGTTATCTGTCAACAGTCCTCTGTCATACGTTTAATCGATGTTTAACACAAAAGTAGGGTGGTCTCTAACCATGGGCCACCCTGTATATTTTATTAAATTACTTTTCAACTGAAACATCCTGTATATAACCATTCATTTTTTTGTTACTGAACTGACAGCTTGCAGGTCGCCTGATGGTCACGTGTCATCTCTGTAATCTGTCAACGGCCATCTGTCAAACGTCATCTACCATACGTCATACGTTACTATGATTGCTAAAGCCCACATAAAGTGTGAGACATCTTGAATATATTTTCCAATTTTTATTCTACTTGAACACCTAGTTCATTCATCTTGTTATTGAACTGATGACTTGGGAGGTAGCCGGCTTGCAGGTCGCCTGATCACGCGTCATCGATCTTCGATATCTGTCATCGGCCATTTGTCAAACGTCATCTGCCATACGATATACGTTACTTGTCTAATATGTTCGATGTGCCCACCTAAAGTGTGGTAGTCTAACTGTGGGACACCCTGTATATATTTTTTAATTTTTATTCAACTTAAACGTCCTATATATATATATATCTCGTTATTGGTACCGATGTGTTATTGCAGTTCTTATCAGTAGAGCTCGCTCGTCGGGGTCAGATGACCTTGACGGGGACCGTTTTTGCTATTTTTGAGCTTGAAATTCGCTGAAAAAGTCCGTAGACCTAGGGAAAAATCTGGTCTGCTTTACATTGGCTCTTATGGGGCTTTACGCTGCACATCGCGAAATTTCCGTAGAATCTGGGGAAAAAGGACTTAGAATTTTGAAAATTGGTCTGATTCTCTCATAGCTCATTTACTCTTGTTGTAATGAAGACACCATTTTGAGCATCTGCTGTAATCACCTTCACTGTATATTTTCTAAAATTCCTGATTTTTGTACTACTCAAATGTGAACATACCTTTTACATGAAATAAACATTTATAGATTTGTCTTCAGTTGCTCTAGGTTTTCTGCGCCATGATTTGGATGAATCTTTTACTGCACCAGTTTCGTTAAACATTTTACTAATTTACTGACAGTAGACCTTGTTATGATATTTCTATTAGGATATAAGGTATTAAAAGTTATTCGAATCAAACGAGTTCATTCAATCATAGCCTACTAAATGTATTATTTTAACTTCGGCGAAGATAATGTGAACGTAGCTATAACTCCGAAATCATGGCATTTAGGTATAGGGAATATGACATGAAAAATATTCAGTATTTCTTTAGGATTTCAAAAAGCAAAAAATATACAGGGTGATCCATTTGAAATGACAGAGTTCATTATTATCCCGGAATAAAGAGAGATCTGACAACAATGTAAATGCCACCATAATATCGGCCGCATAACAAGACCCTTGCACACCAAAATCTATAGAAATCGTGCAATCCGTTTCCGAGATAAGTGAGGCGTCCATACATAAAACTCACTCTGTATAAGCAACATACAGAGAGAAGCAAGATCTAAGGGTGTAAGATGCTCAGGAGAGCATTCTAAGGACTATGAGTGTCCTAATGTTTCCGAAGAATGTGGTAATACTTCATTTTGAAATTTTCGGAAATTGATGACATGGAAACAAGGAAAATTATGTAGTAAATCATGTAGAGAAATCAGTACGAAAGCGTCGACGATCAGAAAATAAAGAATTTCGAAAGAGTACAACTTTCAAATACCATCTGAAAAACGGGAAAGATAAGTATGTTAACAGTTGTTTCTAAATACATTTGGTATGATATGTTCAATAATACGATTTTCCACACTTACAGTGATTTTGATTTTTAGACAGTTCTCATAATTGGCGTACGTGCTGCATGCCAAAAACAGGAACTGAGAGATATAAAGATAGAAGATGTTGAGGACACAGGAACCTTTTTATTATCAGAATTCCAAATACGAAAACCAAGATTCAACGTCCTTTTGTGATCTCTGGCCATTTCTATTCTAGAATCAAACAATATGACACTATACGCTGGAGAGTACTGAAAGCAAATTCACCATATTTCTTAAAATATAAAAATGGAGGATGCACCAAACAACCCGTTGGGATGAACAAGTTAGGCAGAATATCAAGAGATATTGCAGAACTTCTTGAACAAGAAAATCTTAATCGCTACACAGGACACTGTTTTCGCAGATCTTCGGCAACTATTTCAGTCGATACTCGTGGGGATCTATTGGATTTGGAGAAGGTTATGTTGATGATTTCTTAAAAAACAAAATTACCCACCTCATCCAGAATATCATTCGCTATTTTATATAATAGGAATAATCCAACGTTCACAAATGAAAATATTACAATGAAAAATGAATTAATTATAATAATGTTGCCAATGTTGATTAAATAAATGTTGTAGTAAATAAAATGATGTGAATATATAGATATCCTCTGTAGTTTTGTGAAATGGTTCGAAATAAAATTGTTCAAAGGATATAAAAATTCAATTAGATACAGGGTAACCCATGTAAAGAAATGATGTACCATGTCATATGTTCTAACTTTTTTGATACACTGTTTATGGCCGTAGGTAAAGTATAGTTGGAAATGCGCGTTGTAAAACAATTACGCACTCATGGAACTTTTCCATTCGTGCGTAATATGCTTCTATAACACATTTTACGTAATATATCATCATAGAAAAAATTTGACAAGGGACGAAAATATTGATATTGAAATAAAGTGTTTGGAATCACACGTTAAGAGGTAAGGCCCCCGTCATGCCTTGCTCGCACAAGACGGCAGATAGAACAATTTCAGAACAATTTAGAACAATAGTTCCTTTTTTTCTTAGTAAGTACCAATCCCGACTAAATTTGAGAAAAATGGAACATAAAATTTTGGATAAACATATGATAATTTTACTCGAAAATTCAGAAGGTGAAATTGAATCTAATCTTTCTACCGATTCGAGTAAAACTAATGAAATTTTTCAATTTGACAATGATGGGAATTTAAATTGTATTGAATCATCATTTTCATCATAACCTAGAAACTGCTCATCATTCTTTAATAATACGAATGAATGATTGTGATAGGCGTGCTGTTGACAATGTTATTTGAATATTACTTTGAATCAACATGATCGTGAAATGGTCGACAACAGAATGAGGAATTTGATAATTCATATCAATAGAGGCTAATGTTTGTAATGATAGACAACACGAACATACAATCACCATCACTACCACCATTTCTGATGATACTTCTCTACACACACATCATATTATTCAACACGGATTATTAATTATTTGGAACGATCCTGATAGGAATGCTGTAGATAAGAGATTTTAAGTGGAATCACAAAATGTAATTATCAAATTATCACAAACATAATATCACCCCTTAATAACATTTAATGAATGTTGTAACGATTTATTGGAGGTTATTTAAACGCCACTTTCCATACGTACGTTGAAATAATTCCAATAGCCCGTGACATCGCCGCTCTTGATGGTCCTCTGAAATACAACCATTATTATTTCGTAGATGCAGAAGAAGCTGTCAAGAAAAATTCCCACTTCTATAGAGATGCTGTCAACAAGGATGTTGTTAGATTATGTGAACTTAATTTCTGGTTGGCCAGAAATTAAAAATAATCACAAATTACATCAAAAATGGGCGAATAGGCCCGATTTGGTGTGTCGAGTCTTCCACACCAATTTGCTAGAATTTATAGACGACATCACTGCCAAACAATATTTTGGAGTTCCACTCAACTACATGTACACAGGGGAATTCCAGATGCGAGGTTTGCCGCATGCTCACGATCATTTGACACTTGGACCCGAGCCAGCATCAATGCTGCTGTGTACACCGAATTTCCAGATGCAGATGAGGAGCCCCGTTTGTATGACATCATATCACATCACATGATCCATAAACCTTGCGGCCATCGAGATCCCACTGCCTCGTGAATGATGGATGGACATTGCAAGAAATTTTGCCCGAAAGTATTGGCACGATCTCACGATTCGCCGTCTCAAGTGTCAGGAACTCAGCTAGTACTTCCTATATGTATGAGGTCTACGGGGCCTTTCATCCTGGTTGCGAGATCTTAGGGGGTTATGCTTAGCAGCAAGAGGGTGACCTAACTACTACACACCGTAGCTAGGTTGAAGCAAGGAAAGAATGTACTCCTTGTTTAAGAAAAGTGATATTTATTAGTGATAAAAACAGTAGACATGGTGAGCAAGTAAAAAAACAAAAAGGGGTTAAAAAATACCAAAAGATAGTAGAAGGACTATGCCGTTTCTCCTTCAAAGCCGCGATCAACACTCCCTAGGTGGCGCTGTAGATGTAGCGATACTTTTAACTTCTTGATGATTGTATTTATAATATGTATTATTCGTATGGTGACGTCATTTTTGCCAATTTATATTCCGAATTAAATAAAAGAAGCTGTGAGGTGTGCGAACGGGGAATCGAACCCCGGCCGACGGACTGTGAGTCCGATGCGCTACCATTGCGCCACATCCACAAGTAAATGTTTGTGTTCAAGTTGGGGATATAACATGCCGGCCGGCCAGCGCGCGGGTCGCCTTCACTCCGTTGGCAGACGTCGGATACTTGGTGCGCGGCGCACCGCATCGTTATCTCCAAGCGACGTTGTATGATGTATGTCGTTTGCAGATTATGCTTGAGATATAATGTATAGAGTGGAAGGATGCAAAAAAAAGCATTGGAGCTTGATTTGTGGGTTAAAGTTGGAGCAATATTCTCGAGGAAGTTTATGCCACACCGCTAATAGTCCACAAGGATCTGCAAATTCATTGAGACATTCTATTGGAATGTATCTTCTTGGGTTCACAGTGTATATTATATTAGGAACCGTTTTTGCTATTTTTGAGCTTAAAATTCACGGAAAAAGTCCGCAGATCTGGGGAAAAATATGCTTCGCTTTTTATAGCTCTTATGGGGCTTCCCTCCATGCATCGTGTAATTTCCGTAGAATCTAGGGAAAAATGACTTAGAATTTTGAAAATTGCGGGGAAACTGGTACAGCTCCTTTATCGCTGAATGTCGTTAGAGTTTCAGTGGGAGATTTCAGGAAGTCAACGAGCACTGCTATTTCAGACTTCATATTTTTTTCCAATTGGCAGACTGATGAAAAGCAATCGAATAGGTATAAATCTCTGAACATCAGTAGTTGACGCATTATTTCAACTAAACCTTCAGCAATGATGGGAGCCTCGTTGGAATATGATTGTCCCAAATTGTTAAAAACATTTTGCTGTAGAAAAAGGTGTTTTTCCATATCTGCTCTAGATGATGTAGTCGATGGAATGGCATGTCGAAAATGCAAGCATTTTTCCTACTGCGTATGCGCATGCACATCGAGACGCAAAAATGGAATAGGTTCATGTTTTGTGGCAGTTTTCAGATGTCTGTGGCAGAGTACAAACGTCAGCTGGAGGAATTCCAGAAGAAAATTAGAGAACTCGAGGTGACAATAAAACTTTACGAAGATAAACAGCTGATGATTAGGAATTTTTCGAAAATAGCTCTATTGGAAGACGTGATTACTACGAGGAGTATACCACTATCAACCACAACGAAAAAAATATGGCTATGCTGGAAGCATCATTTGTATTGCTGTTTTCAATGATGGGAGACATTTTGTACATGAATGTGCCAGACAAAGTCAGCGAAGCAGGAATTTGTTTCAATAACGAGTCATGTCAGTGGATTTCTATGTGGAAAGAACTCATCAATGACGGTCAGATGGAGGTATTTTCAATACAAGTACCAGAAAATGGAACGAAATATAAAATCAGATTGATTTTCAACGATAGGACCTTCGGCGAGCTGAATCAATGGCAGTTTTTTAGAGCCTCACCACCAATACCACCATTGACACCACCAGTGGACCATGAAAAATTCTATTCTTTGTTGAACGTATTTTCATATATCAATTTGACATTTCAAGTTTTGATAGTATTGATTAAAATCGTACAACTTCTCTGTAGAAAATGACGAGAAACAAGCTCAATCTTGTCTGTATATTATTGAATAAAAAATCTCATATCATATGGCTGAAGGTTGTTATTTCGTTCGTTATTCTCTGTATATGATTTTTAATGGGTATTTCATGTCTTGGAAATATATTATCAATTTGCATAATAAACACATTATTCCAATTAAAACCCACATGGCTACTCCTTATCTACATCCTCTTCGAGGAATGTTTGCGCAACCAGTTGAAAGATAGCCCTGATGGCCTCTTACACATATTGTGAGTCGTTATTTTTGTATGGCGATATCACGAATATTAATAATTTATATTCAAATCAACATCCTACAGACGATGTTTTTCATTCCGTTGGCCCATTATAGCGGAGATATCTCGAGATTGCAAAACAGCTTACATATGCGCATACTAATTAACATGACGCGATCACCACATGCCCACTCTCCGTTCTCACGCTCTCTCTGCGCCTATAAAACCAATTTGCGTTGTAGCATATTCAGTTCAACAGTGAATGCAGCAACAGCAAACATCCTACTATCAAGTGCAGTTTAGTTTCCATAATACCGGTACGTACCTATACCTCCTTTATATCAAAGTGCACATTTCTAGCCTAAATATTGATAATTTTTGGTGAATATCCCTATGAGTTTCCATTTGTAGTTTCGATTGAACGTATAGGATTGTAGCTTTTTTCATTCCATGTCGGTTTTTGCTATTATAATAGACCTTTTGGCATTCATTTCAAGTTTTGGAAATAATTCCAGTGTGAGTTTTGCGAATAATTTTCCTTTATATCAAAGTGCACATTTCTAGCCTAAATATTGATAATTTATACCTATTTGGTGAATATCCCTATGAGTTTCCATTTGTAGTTCCAATTGAACATATAGGATTGTACCTTTTTTCATTCCATGTCGGTTTTTGCTATTATAATAGACCTTTTGACAGTCATTTCAAGTTGTGGAAGTGATTCCATTGTGAGTTTTGCGAATCATTTCGAGCTATGGAGAATAATTTCGCGATTCTGCGTGTATATAATTGACTTCTTTCATTACAGCAGCAGCTCAACAGCAGTGAGAACAACAGAAAAAAAGCTACCTACTTCGTGCCACAACCTAGCTTTTGCAAGCAGCATTCAGCATACCGGTAAGTACCTATACCTTCTGTATATCACAGTATACATTTCTGAATGATATCAATAATTTATACCTATTTGAGTTTCCCTTTGTGTGTTTTCAATTCAACGTATTGGTTTATAGATTGTTTTAATTCCATTTCAGTTTTTGCTAATATTATAGACCTTTTGACAATCATTTCAAGTTCTGGAAATAGTTTCATTCCATTGTAAGTTTTTCAAACGCTATAGGCTTTCTGCGATTCATTTCGAGCTATGGAGAATAATTTCACGATTCTGAGTATATATAATTAGATTTTTTCATTACAGCAACAGTCAAACATCACTACTTCGTGCCACAACCTACCTTTTGCAAGCGGCAGTCAGCATCAGTGAAAGAGTACCTACAATTTCCGCAAAACCAATATCAGTAAGTACCTTTTTTGTTACAATTTACTTCTTTCATTCCATTTTCCGTTTTCGTTAATGTTATAGGCATTTTGGTATCCATTTCAACTATTAGAAATATTATAGAGCCATCGCCATTAATTTCACAATCCCATTCTGAGTTTTCCAAAGAAATTTCACGATTCAACATATTTTATTATTGGTTTTTTCATCCCATTTGTGAGTTTTTGCAAATATTAAAGGCCTTCTGCCATTCATTTAGCGAGTATTATAGACCTTTTGCCTGAAAAATATGCTTTTTATATCGTTCTTCTCTCCAGATCGATCTAGCTAAGTTGAACCAAGCGTCCCTGGTGGAAAGGAAACCGGTTCAGAAACTCACAGATCTGAAGGTCGGGGTACAACACCCAATCTAAGCGGCCAAAGTGGTGGACGGTAGATTCGGCAAGTCGGTGCTATTGGAGTTGGAGGAGTCGGTGATATTCTTGCCCAATAGGGTAACGGGGGTTTATTTACCCCACATTGGGGAGTTCACAACAGAAACGTACTCCATCATATTCAGAGGGGAGATAAAAGCACATCCGGCAGCATCGTTCGAAATTGTCCAGACTTCTTGAGAGTGAGTAATATTTTTTAATTTTTTTATCGAAAATATTTTCAACACACCACAATCATAATGGAAAATTTCAAACGAACTTTGGCCAAAATTGATGAGACCCTCTTGTTCATTAGAAATAACCAGTCAAAATATATAGGCTCATTTGCCCTCAAATCTATTGATTGTATTGATAGTAAACGACATGGTCGATAATAATTTAATAGGGAATATTGAAGATAAATCCAATTTTTCAAATAGTCGAGTTATTGATGAAAATATACAATCTCTCAGGAAAGGATATTTGACAACATACACACTATCTGATTCAATAACCAACAACACCACTATGATTACCGCTACCACCACCACCACCACCACCACTAATACTGATAAGATCAATTCTCCTCACAATTTGTTCTCCATTGACGGTCCCGGTGGCACTGACAAAACGTTTCTATACAATTGCATTATCGGTAAAGTAAGGCACGACTTGGCTAAGTCAGTTTTAGCGGTAGCATGGACGGGAATTGCGGCAACCCTTTTATCTAAAGGTACTACTGTACATTCTGCATTCAAACTACCTTCGAAATCATCAGAGACGTTCCCGGCTATCCTATCGAAAGTACAAAAGCTCAGGTCATCAGAGAATCGCCCATCATCTTATGGGACGAAGCACCAATGTCGCCGCGATTGGTTATCGAAGCCGTTGAACGATATTTGAGAGACTTGATGGATACCCCTGAAACACCGATAAGAGGAAATATTGTAGTTTTTGGGGAAGATTTTTGACAGCTTCTACCTGTCATGCCACGAGCACATTCAGGCCAGATTATCAGAGCGTGCATCAAATCATCCTATCTATGGCCAATGGTGCGTCAGTATCGTCTTGAAAAAAATTTGAGAGTGAGCAACATATTGACTACGACAGCTGTTGCTGATGAGAACCGTCTTCGTCATCGTCAAAAGGAAATCCAAGACTTTGTCCAATTTCTTCTTCGAATTGGTAATGATGACTTACCACACATCAAAATGCTTATTGCATTCACTCCCGACGATCTAATTGAGATTCCATCTCGATTTGTGTTCAATCCATCGAACAAATTGTCGAAGAAATTTATTTTCGATGCAGGTCCTAGTGATCCTTTCATTCCCCAAAAATATCTTGCAGATAAAGCAATTCTTTGTCCATCAAACAAAGCCGCCGTGGAAGGTGTGAATTATCTCGTCATGTCCAAACTAACATCTTTCAGTTGCACTTTTTTAGTGTTCACAGATTCGAACAATTGGTTGACGAAGAATCGCATCGACAACAAGATGACTTTCATATACCCCAAGATTATTTGCAATCCATCAGTATATCTGGACTTCCACCGCACGAGTTAACTCTCAAAGTAGGTAGCGTAGTTATGTTATTACGTGACGTCGACATTATGAGCGGCTTACGTGATGGAACTCGATTACGTATTCTTACTTTGGGAGATAATATGTTACAAGTGCAAATATTGACGGGTAGCACTGAAGCTCATCGCGGCAATGTTTTGTTCCTTCCTTGGATGCGTTTGTCTGCTTCTGAAAGCGTAACCTATCTACCTGGAACTGTTCATAGATATCACTTTCCTATATGACTAGCGTTCGCGATAACCATTGATAAATCACAAGGTCAAACCTTTAAAAAGGTAGGAAAATGTTCAGATGCCATGTTCTGCTCACGGAAAACTTCATGGGGCTCTTGAGTCGCGTAGGTGATCCAAATTTTTAGGAAATTCATTTGAAAAATTCATAGAAACAAGGCCATTTCGAATACAGAAACAGATATTTCACAAGAAATGTCGTCTATTCTTCCATAGTAACTACTTATAAAAATATCACACAACAACCACAACCAAACATTAAATTATCATCAGAAACAACAACTTAAACATTAGAGACAACAACAATGAAACCTACAAAACCAACATCTGTATTACCTTCAGTTCCGAAACGTGATGAGAATCGCATTCGAGTCATTCAAACTATTGCTATTGCTATTGTTCCTCCACTTACTACAACAAAAGTTACCACTAATACAACTTCAAATTTTAATGTTCCCTCAACATCACCACACAAACACAATATTCACACTTCCATTAGAGATGACATGAATTTCCAAAATTTTTCCGATGAATTTCAACCAGAAATTGTCGAGTTTAACGATATAATCGAAGAACATTTGAAAATTCCATATGAAGTTGATGGAGGAAAATCGAAGAGAAATGTCAATCGAAGGTTGTACGCGGTACAATGACCATCACTTCACCCACAGTTACTATGGATGACGAAGTATTACCCTCTTGCGACGAGGATTTAGATTATGACTCACCACCAAGAACAATTACCGTTACCTCCAACTGCTTTTCCATCATTACAGCAATTGCCTGGTAGACGATCAGTTCATGATTAACCAGATACATCAGGTGTATCGTTGAAAAAGTAGATGAAAGTAACAAGGGAAAACGTCATCTAGCGATGATGATAGTGATGATGGAAATGGGGATTATTGTCAGAATGAATGAATCTCACAGAAACATAAAAAGTTCAAATTTAATTGATATTAATTGAATTTTATTTTTTCCACGTTTTTTGATCCATTATGATAATGATCATACCTCTGAGATTACCTCCCGAAGATGACACCTTAATATACCAAAAACACCATGGTTTGACGTGAGTCTCCCTATTCTTCATGATATTTCTATTCCTATCTGTCTTCCTCTTACTTTGACATATACGGTGTGAGTTTTATGTATGGAACGCCTCCATTATCTCGGAAACGGATTGCACGATTTTTATAGATTTTGGTGTGCAAGGGTCTTGTGATGCGGCCGATATTATGGTGGTATTTACATTGTTGTCAGATCTCTCCTTCTTCCGGAATAATAATGAATTTTGTTATTTCAAATGGATCACCCTGTATATTTTTTGCTTTTTGAAATGCTTAAGAAATACTGAATATTTTTCATGTCATGTTCCCTATACCTAAATGCCATGATTTCGTAGTTATAGCTTCATTTACATTATTTTCGCCGAAGTTAAAATAATACAGTTAGATGGCTATGACTGCTACAATAACAACTTTGACGTTTCAATAAATTAGTACTGTTGGTGTTCAGTGAAAGTCACAATGGATCGTATATCTGAAAAACAACGAAATTAGATTTTAATGATATTAGGATATGGTGATATGCGTAGAAGTCAACAAGAAACGTGTAATATCTTTTATCTACAACTATGAAGTCATTCATGCATTGCTTACTCGATTTTCGATATTTAATGACATACATTATTGTGATGAATCGAGTAATAAGAGTAATAATTACAGTAGGGTGGCGTAATAATTTGACATCCCATCGTCTTGTCAAATTCAACTAGGTAGGTATTCGTTCAACTAGTTCGCAAATTCAAAAGACTGACCTCACATGGTTCTCATAGTTTTAATCACCTTAATTCTACAAATACACGGAAAATGAGAATTCACTGTTTCCATCCTGAACAGTGACTACTATCATGAGTAACCATACTCATAAAATAGGACTTGACACTTGACACTTGCAGATTTGCTCACATGGCTACAGGCTATTCGAATAGACCAATCCAGAACCATGGAATTTCATTGTTGATAATTAGCTTCTAGAGACAGGGTACTACAATTAATCATCGCGGTGGGGGAACGCTACAGCGAAAGCAGGTTAATGAATAATCTGCAATAGTATGATTCATTTTACAGCTGAAAAGTGAAACGGCCTATAATACCTGTTAAGATTGACTGATATGTGATTGCACGACTTTCTTCCTGTTAATAAAAGTTATATCCAACATTGTTTATTTTCAAAATCATAATTATTGAAATAAGTTATATGCTGTTCGTTGAGTGAAATTCTTGTCCATAAGTTTTCGATGGAATTATCAAGTATTTCAAATCAGATTTAGTAATTTTGCAATATGATAACCTTCATTCATTCCTGAGATATATTTCTGAACTCTCAGAGTTGCTTTGATATTCAAATAGTTGTAGATAAAGTATAGTATTCTACTTGCGCATAATGACTTTTACCCACTCAGATGATTACAGCACTCGCCTTCGGCTCGTACTGCAACTTTCATCCTCGTAGGTAATAGCCATCATTATGCGCTCGTTGAATAATGTACTATAATAATTAATATCCTAACCGAAATCCCATAACAAGATCTACTGTCAGTAAATTGGTAAAAAAGTTTAACAAAACTGGCTCAGTGAGAGATTTATCCAAATCAGGACGCAGAAAAACTCCATCAACTGAAAACAAATCTTTAGATATTTGTGTCCTGTTAGAAGACGATCCACACTTTAGTACTAGACAAATATCCAGGGAACTTGATATTTCGCAAACATCCGTAAGGAGAATTTTACGTGAAAATAAATTTCATCCATACAAAATAAGATTAGTTCAAGAGATGTGAGATGATGATTTCGATAGACGTGAAGAGTTTGTAGACATAATGATGGAAAAATGTTACAATCAGAACGATCCCAATTTGTTAAGTAATGTTATGTTTTGCGATGAGTCCACTTTTATGATCAATGGAAACGTAAATCGGCAGAATTGTAGATACTGGTCACGTAACAATCCTCGTTGGATACGTGAATCCCACACCCAATATCAGCAAAAGCTGAATGTATGGGATGGAATAATAGGCGACAAAATAATTGGTCCCTTTATCATTGAGGGAAACTCAAATGGTCCGGCGTATTTACATTTATTGGAAAATAGTATTATACCTGAGTAAGTAATTTTAATTACATTTCAATGTAGAAATTTCATTATTCGAGACTTTCAGAAAATAACAATATCCCAAACGACAATATTTGGGTGCAACAAGATGGTGCTCCACCTCACTATGCGCGTGTGGTGAGGCAATACCTAAATAATGTGTTTCCCAGAAGATGGATTGGAAGGCATGGTTTTATCGAATGGCCCCCGCGATCACCCGACATGAATCTTTTAGACTATTCCCTGTGGGGTCACTTAAAAAACATCGTTTATAAAACAAAACCCGCCAATATTCAGGAATTGAAAGATAGGATTACCACAGAGATAAGAAGTCAGGGATGTTGCAAAATGTATTGCAAAGTTTTGAAAATCGCATGGCTTGTTGTAATGAAGACACCATTTTGAGCATCTGCTGTAATCACCTTCACTGTATATTTTCTAAAATTCCTGATTTTTGTACTACTCAAATGTGAACATACCTTTTACATGAAATAAACATTTATAGATTTGTCTTCAGTTGCTCTAGGTTTTCTGCGCCATGATTTGGATGAATCTTTTTCTGCACCAGTTTCGTTAAACATTTTACTAATTTACTGACAGTAGACCTTGTTATGATATTTCTATTAGGATATAAGGTATTAAAAGTTATTCGAATCAAACGAGTTCATTCAATCATAGCCTACTAAATGTATTATTTTAACTTCGGCGAAGATAATGTGAACGTAGCTATAACTCCGAAATCATGGCATTTAGGTATAGGGAATATGACATGAAAAATATTCAGTATTTCTTTAGGATTTCAAAAAGCAAAAAATATACAGGGTGATCCATTTGAAATGACAGAGTTCATTATTATCCCGGAATAAAGAGAGATCTGACAACAATGTAAATGCCACCATAATATCGGCCGCATAACAAGACCCTTGCACACCAAAATCTATAGAAATCGTGCAATCCGTTTCCGAGATAAGTGAGGCGTCCATACATAAAACTCACTCTGTA